GTAAATAAAAAATTAAGGGGTTTGGGATTGGGACAACGTTTAAGGTTTACAAAAAATAGATAGATATACCACAAGGTGATAAAGCGAGTACAGATCAGATAATCATGGCTTTCAGCTCGCCCAACTGCCCTTTAATGCTAAAAATCAAGAGGGACATAGATAACTACTCCGCACAACAACATTTATATATTGATAGCAGGTAATATTTGCTTCTTGAAAACCTATGTCACTGCAAATTTCACAAATTTTATTCTGCAAATTCATAAGAACAGAAATTCAAAAGTTAAACAATTGTTGATCCAGCTTAAGTGAAGTTCATATTGTGTTCTGGTTTGGCAATGAACACAGATCTAGATGATATCCAAGTGCTTCACTTATCCTCTTTTGTCACATAGAATCAAGATTTCCATATGATCAGATTGGGGAACGAGGAAACACAACGTAAAAAGTTACATAAAGGTAAATCATAATCAACAAAATCATGTTTTCATCATCATGTAGCTCACATGCATATATCAGTAATAAATCCCCTTAATGCAACACACGCATATCCATTACATTCCAAGTATTATCCCGGCAAATTATTTTCTTAGAATATTATTTGGTTATATATTATCCTGATAGAAACACCTCCAGTACTCCTCCTTAAGAAGAACTTTATGGAGGTAAATGACATAAAAGGCCAATGGTACAATACTAGTTTTTTTCCTGCCATTGTAAATAAAATCAGTGTTGGTAATATAGTTTTGGGACAGTGATATACACATATATCACTATAGCTGATATATTGTTTGAGTATCAAATCTGGAACTTAGAACGATACTTTTTTGGAACGAAAAGAACAACATTTTAAGTAAATTATGGAAGTTTTCTCTTAATTTAGCTCATTAATAATATTTCACTTGTACTGAATTCATGTTTCTTATATAATGAAATCATACTAGGGTTTGTTGATGACCACGTATATAATTGGTAGGCCACACAAACACTAAGAAGTTACTTGTTGATTCTACTCTTAATCGTGCCACTAAGCTTAAAGCAATAAGTTCCAATTCCTATTCAATTACATATGTGTAGAATCAGTAAGTGATGAGCAAGAATTGCAAGAATCGATTGGTGACACCACCTATTTGGTAAGGAATGAGACTCAAGGATGAAACTAAAAGTGTAGTGAGGGGCATGTTGTTAAGCAGGAGGCAATTTTAGAATGGCTTGCTATAAGACCTGATTCAAGCCCAGGTGGTGTATTTGGACTTCACGCATCTTGTATGGGTCCCTCTATACCAAGAGAGGGAGCTACGTGGGTCCTACATCACCCTTACAACAGAGAGGGTAGGTGTATACACTTTTATTAATGATTACTGATGGTTCTACGACACATTCTAGATTCATATGCATTGCCTATCACCCATAGAGATGTTTATTATTTGCGCCTTTCAATTTTAAGGGGGTTTGGTCGGGTTATGTTTGTTGTTTGTATCTTTTGTGCTTATGGGTTTCGATTAGGTTATTGTTTTACAATGTTTTATATTCTTGTGATATTGATCTTCTAGTTGATATGTTGTGGTCTTGATTAGTTGATATTAACTATCTTAACCCTAGGTAGTTGACTCTTGTATCATAGTTTGTTTGTGAGTAGGTTGTTGGCTTGCGTTTCGAAGTACGTTATTGACTCAGTTCTTTACCCTTTATATCTTGTTTCCTCCCCTTATTGCTTTTCTATCATACTATACCTCTTGTTTAGTCTTTTGAGTTCTATTTCCTTTATTACATATTACTTATACTTGTTTTATCTTTGGAGCTCAATCGGTCGATGCCTATGGAGTACCACTTGTTGGTACTCACACCACACTTCTACACCCTAGAGATTGTGGTACGAGTTCTCGCTGTTGGTTTGGATCTCGTGCGGAGAAGGTTTGGACTTTGAAGACTGGGTAAGCTCCTGGCGTTCAGAGTTTATTTTTATTTCAAAGATAGTCTCTTCTTTCATTGTGTTTGTGAAATCCTCGTACACTTATTTTAATTATATGCTCTACTACATGCCAGGTCTTGGAAGTGGTTCTTTGTATTTTATTTATGTTGAATTCTCTTTCTCTTTTTCTATTAGCTTCTTTCTTCTATTTCAAAGGCATATAGATTTAATTAGACCTATTAGTTCAAAGAAAAAGAGGTTGAGAGTATATTGTTGGGAAATATAATTCTGTATATTTCAAGGAAAGCTTTTTAGAAGAAACTTATATTTTTGTTGGTTCGGTGATTGAGGTAATTCATCATGTTTACTACTCCCTCCATTTTATTTTACTTGCCCCTTATACCAAATATATATGTTTCATTTTACTTGTCCCTTTAGAAAATCAGGAGAAGTTTATTATATATTTTTTCTCAAAAAAAGGACAAATATACCCCCGAACTTTCAAAAATGGTATGTATATACCCTCCGTTATACTTTGAGACTGTATATACCATTCCCATCTTATTTTTGGGTCATACATATCCTTACAACTAATGAAGAAAAACGTGGCAACATCTGAACAATTGACCCAATTTTATTTCATTTTTTTGATGAAAATTTAAAAACGCACTCACCCAACTATCTAATAATTTATTTTACCCGACCCGTATTAAAATAAAAACCCGACCCAATCTAAAACATGTTTACAGTGCATTGCGAAGAAAATCACTTGATCCCATCATCATGTATTCCTCTTTTCCTATTCTTAATTGTCAGTACATGTGTTTTCATGGTGGAAAATTCATTTGGCTATAGAACCCATTTCAAAATTTCAATAACTTTTCGAAATCTAAATAATTATTACAAATAGTTTTACCTTGACACCTCTTTTATAGTAATTGAACTATTGATAACAAATTGAAATTTCTACTTTCCTCATACCAGCTGAGTAACACTACATCCTGTAGCGGTTGTCAAAATTGGCTCGCATTACGCTGACGCGGAGACTCTACCAGAGTTTCCGCATTACATTGGATTATGGAGACAATACACCATGGAGTATTGGATGTTGGCTTCGATATTGTACCAAGAAAAGGAGACAAAGCAACAGAGGTTGTTAGGGTTGTAAATTCATTTTAAGATGATGTGTTCTTTGTACCTGTAATGGGTTAGATTTCTTCATGTATTTAGGGTTTTTTTCACGAAATTTTATCGATTAGATAAGGAGAGATCGATCGAGAAGGGATAAATTTGGATGTAGTGTATGATTGGGTGGCGGCAGCGATGGTTCTAAGAAAGTAACCGAAGTTGATGAATGGGGGCGATGTAGAAGGGATAAAATTTGATATACGGGTGGGTTTAAAGTATCTGGGTAGGTTTTTAGTTTAGTAGGTGAAAAATAAAATAATATAGAGTCAATTGTTGAGATGTTGCCATGTGTCACTCCGTTTGTTGTAAGGATATAAATGACCCAAAATTAAGACGGCAAGGGTATATATAGTCTCAAAATATAACGGAGGGTATATACATACCATTTTTGAATGTTTGGGGGTATATTTGTCATTTTTCCCTTAAAAAAATTAAATGCCAGTCAAATTTAGAGTTGTATGATAAGTTTGACTGACTTTTAATTTGAACTATAAAGTTGACTGACATTTAATTTATTAATACTAAAGGTAGTATGATAAAAAAGTAATAAAATCTTCATGATTTACTAAATGGACAAGTAAAATGAAACACATATTTTTGTTACAGAGGAAAAGGAAAATGAAATGGAGTTAGTAGTAAACACGATTAATTGCCCCAATCACAAAATCAACTGAAATATAAGTTTCTTCAGAAGAACATTCATTGAAATATATCGAATTACACTTCCCAATTATCACTATTCTCAACTAATTTTTCGTTGAACTAATACTTCTAATTAAATCTATATGCTTTTTTATATCTACCAAATTTATATCCTCATCCTCTGCTTTGTTTCCATCCATAACAGAACATCTGGAAAAATAATTAATTGTTGTGAATGCTTCTATAGAAGAAAAAGGAAAATAAAAAATGTTCCTCTACGCAATTCACGAAGACTGAAGACTATTCTAGATATTATAAATATGATTTGGGTACCCAACGTCCAACAACAGACCTAATAAAATCAAAATCCATTGAAGAGTACTGACTGAAAGAGAAAAAATAAGTCCAAAGTGATAGGCAAAACAGACGAAACCATTCATCTTTGACGGCTCCATTCAAACAATAGGCCCTCCTTAGAGAAAACCCCACTTCTCATATCTCTCTACTATTATTTTTTTCAAATTAAAATGTGTCATGATCAAATATCTCAGGTCATGATGACACCTACTAACACCCTTAAGTAGGTAAGTCAACCCATTAACCGGAACCAAAAGCAATAGTGTATCATACGGATGAAAAACATAACGGAGGCAGGGAACAAAAATCAAAATAAAAGGAAGGAGATACACCAACAAAATAAAGGAAAGAGATATACAACAATATAAATATACAAAACATCCCCAAGATTTGGCATCAAACGTTAGTTGAGCTTCTAATCAAAATAGGAGTACAAGGAAAATATAGATATATATAGAACTATCTCTTAATGCAAAATAAAGACTAATTGTTGAAAGTGCTGCCTCAAAACCTAGAGATTATTTCCACTTTCTGTTGTATCAATATACAACTTAAAAGTAGGATTATGTTCAGATAAATTAGGCTGCAGAATTTGGCAGAATTTGATTAGTTAGTTGCTATATTTTAGGCATTAGTTATTGGAGATAATGTTAGCTTATTTGACTCCTTTTATTTAGCTTTTTATGTTATGAATTCATGTATTTATATTGCAGTCATTATTTCAATAAACAATGAAACTTAACCTTGTTTCTTCTCTTTTCTTTCTTAGTAAACATATGTTATTCTCCTGTTAAAAACATACAAATTGGTATCAGTGCATTGCCATCTTGAGGGATCCGTGAGAAGAGAGTGAACCATATAAACCCTTCTTTGAACTACTATCTTAAATAGTTTATACAAAATGAATTCTGAAACAAGCTTCTTAACTCCACCAGTCTTCAATGGTGAGAATTATCAAGCTTGGGCAATTAGAATGATGGTTCATCTTGATGTGATGGATCTCTTAGAAGTAGTAGAACAGGATTATGAAGTAACTCCTCTTGGTGATAATCCAACAGTGAATCAGATGAAACATCACAAGGAGAATACGACAAGCAAAGCCAAAGCTAAAGCTTGTCTTTTCTCTGCAATATCCCCTTCCATTCTTACCAGAATTATGCAAATGAAGTTTGCTGTAGAAATTTGGGAGTATCTAAAAATAAAATACCAAGGAAATGAAATAGTGCAGAATATACAAGTGATGAATCTGATTCGAGAATTTTAAATAAAGAGAATGAATGAATCAGAAACTATAAAAGACTATGCAGACCAACTAGTCGACTTGGAAAACAAGGTGAGATTGTTCGGTAATGATTTCGCTGATGAAAGAATTGTTCAAAAGATTCTTGTAATACTTCATGAGAAATGTGATGCCACAATTTCTTCTTTAGAGAATTCTAAAGATCTGTCAAGTGTTACCTTGGAAGAACCTGTTAAAGCCTTGTAGGCATTAGAGCAAAGGAAATTAATGAGGAAAGAAGGTTCTATTGAAGGTGTTTTTCAAGCTAATTCACTGAACAACGAGTCAAACAAAGGAAGGAAAAAGAACAAGAAGCAGAGGCCAAGCATTAATTACAATAATCTAGGAAGAAGTCAGCCTCATTTGCTCATTGCAAAAAGACAAATCACTCTCAACAGAAATATTGGTGAAGACCAGACGACAAGTGCAACAAATGTGGTCAATTAGGCCATGTGGAGAGGGTATGCAAGTCAAAACCGCAACAAGAAGAAGCTAAGGCTACAATAAATCAATATCAAGAAGAACAATTGTTTGTAGCAACTTGTTTTGCTAGCAAAAGCACTTCTGAAAGTTGGTTAATTGATAGTGTATGCACAAATCATATGACCAGCGACCAAGAGCTCTTTAAAGATCTAGATAGATCCAAACTGAAAATTGGAAATGGAGAATATCTCGATGTGAGAGGCAAAAGAACTGTTGCAATTCAAAGCCATACAGGTTTGAAACTTATAGTTGATGTTCTTTTTGTTCCTGATCTTGATAAAAACCTCTTAAGTGTTGGACAAGTACTTGAAAATGGTTTGAAAGTGTTGTTTGAAGAAAAAGCATATGTCATCACGGATGCTGATAATAAAGAGATGTTCAAGGTCAAGATGAGAGGAAAAAGTTTTGCCTTGAATTTGTTGGTCGAGGAGCAAGCAACAATTATCAAGTTGGAAAATAACCCAGAATTATTGCATAAAAGACTCGAACATTTTCATCATGATGCTATACTCTTCATGAAAGAAAATCAACTAGCAGAAGGTCTTCCAAGCCTTGAGAAGAACCTGTCTGCTTGTGAAGCTTATTAGTATGGGAAGCAAACAAGGTTGCCTTTTCAGAATTCATTATGGAGGGCAAAGCAGAAGCTGCAACTTATTCACACGGATATAGGCAGACTTCAGAAAACACCATCTTTAAAGGGTAGTAAGTACTATATTGCCTTTATTGATGATTGTACCAGATATTGTTAGATTTATTTATTGAATTATAAATCTGAGGTCGTTGATGTATTAGGGAAATTCAAGGCTTTTATGGAAAATCAAAGTAATTGTAGAATTCAGGTGATAATAACCAATAATGGAACCGAGTGTACTTTAGAAAAAATCAACAAGTTTTGTAATGAAACGGGAATCGAGCATCAGCTAACAACATCTATACTCCCCAACAAAATGGAGTAGTAGAAAGAAAAAATAGGACGCTAATGGAGATGATAAGGTGCTTGCTCCATGAGAAAGGACTGCCAAAGAAATTTTGGGTTGAAGCTGCAAATACAGTAGTATTTCTGCTAAGCAGATTGCCAGCTAAGGCCTTGCAAAGGACGACACCATTTGAGGCTTGGTTTGGTTACAAACCTTTGCTAATAAATCTGAAAATATTTGGTTGTCATTGATTTTCTTATGTAGCTCAGCTGAAAAGAGATAAGTTTGATAAGAAGGCTGAACCTGGAATTTTCGTAGGATACAACAGTCTCTCAAAAGCTTATAGGATCTATCAACCTCAAAATGACAAAATCATTGTTAGCAGGGATGTCAAGTTCGTGGAAAATGACACCTACAGTTGGCAAGATGATGAAAAGCAAAAACATCTAGAATTTCTAGATGTAGATGATGATGTACCTGTTAAAGGCACAATAGCACTTTCAGAAATATATCAAAGGTGTAATGTTGCAATTTTAGAACCAGGAGGATTTATAAAGGCTGCTAAAGATGAAAAATGGAGATATGCAATGCATGAGGGGCTCAAATGATAGAAAAAAAAACACATGGGAGCTGGTTGACAGACCATCGCACAAGAAGGCTATTGGAGTCAAGTGGGTTTATAGGACCAAGTTAAATCCTGATGGTTCCATAAACAAGTACAAGGCCAGACTTGTTGCAAAAGGGTACACACAAATGTTTGGAGTAGATTTTTCAGAAGCATTTACTCATGTCACCCGTTTGAATACGATAAGAATGTTGTTAGCTTTAGCAGCTCAACTAGGATGGAAGATACACCAGCTTGATGTGAAATCAACTTTCCTAAATGGCTACTTTAAAGAAGAAATCTTTGTTGAACAACCCGAAGGTTTTTCTATCAAAGTCAAAGAAGACAAAGTGTACCTTCTAAATAAGGCATTGTATGGCTTTAAACAAGCTCCTAGAGCTTGGTATAGCAGAATTGATGGTCATCTTCTGAGCTTAGTCTTTACAAAAAGTTTCAGCAAGTCTACACTCTATATTAAAAAAGAAGATTCTGATTTAACTATTATTTCATTGTATGTAGATGACTTTCTAGTTACAGGTAGCAATTTGAACTTGATTAATTTGTTCAAGACTGAAATGATGGAAGTTTTTGAGATGATAGATCATAGTGAAATGTTCTACTTTCTTGGCATGTAAATTTAGCAAAAAGGACATGAGGTCTTCATATGCCAGCAGAAATATGCTAAAGAAATTCTCATAAAGTTCAAATGGAAGAATGCAAGTCTACAACGACTCCTATGAATCAAAAGGAGAAGTTCTGCAAAGATGATGGAGCTGAAAAGGCTGACGAAGGACTTTATAGGAGCCTGATAGGTTGCCTAATGTACTTGACTGCAACGAGACCAGATATTCCTTATGCTGTGAGTTTACTTTCAAGATATATGCATTGTGCTAGCGAAATTCATTTTCAAGCAGCTAAACGTGTGATTATATAAGTTAAAGGTATTGTGAATTTTGGCATAATTATTAAAAAAGTATCAAACTTTCAGTTTCTTGGATTTTCTGATAATGATTAGGCTGGTAGCTAAGGTGATATGCGAAGCACCTCAGGTTACTATTTTAGTTTTGGTTCTGGAATGTTCTCTTGGTGTTCAAAGAGGCAAAATATTGTGGCTCATTCTACAGATGAAGCAGAGTACATTACAACTGCATCAGCTGCGAATCAAGCCTTTTGGATTAGGAAACTACTAACAGATTTGTATATGGAGCAAAAGAAGAGCACTGCAATCGTTTTTGATAAACAAGCTGTAATTTCAAGATTTCAAGATCAAGCTTTATTTCTTGAGAGAGGTGCAAAAGAATGGAGACATAGACTTGGTGCACTACAAAACTGATTTTCAGACTGCTGATATTTTAATTAAGGCCTTACCTAGAGCAAGATATGAATTTCTCAAAAAAAGGCTTGGGATTGCTGCTCTTGAGTCAAGGAGGAGTGTTGAAAGTGGTGCCTCAAAAGCTGGAGATTAGTTCTACTTTCTACTGTATCAATATACTCCTTAAAAGTAGGATTAAGTTTCGATAGATTAGGCTGCAGAATTTGGCAGAATCTGATTAGTTAGTTGCTATATTTAGGGCTTTAGTTATTGGAGATAATGTTAGATTATTTTACTCCTTTTCTTTAGCTTTTTAAGTTACGAATTCATGTATTTATTTTGCAGTCATTATTTCAATAAACAATGAAACTTAACCTTGTTTCTTCTCTTTTCTTTCTTAGTAAACATCTGTTATTCTCCTGTTAAAAACCTACACTAATCCTAGGAAAACAGAGGGAGATTGGAAACTTCAAACTTTAGGAACTCACCCTAGTCTACGTATCCAAAAGCTGCTCCACACAAGGCATACCTCAATAGAGAGAACCCATACTAGGATGTGTAGGGTGTAGAAGCATAGTATGAGTACCAACAAGTGGTACTCAGTAGGCATAGACATACTAAGCTCCAAAGATTAATCAATCATAAATTACAAGTAAAGAAAGTATAGTACTAGTAGCTAAAAAAGATATATAACATATTTCAAGTAAAAAGAGACAAGGGAGTATAATAAAATGAGCAAGAGACCGAGACAATGGAACTTACGTGGAGGTGCTAGACCAGTAACCTAATTACTACAAGGGTCCACTAAAGTAGCCAAAAAATCGGTGATACAGCATTGGTAACCACTGCTGCACCTCACAACAGCCAAGAGGCCAATCCATCTGGCAAAAACCAGAAGCATCAATATAGAGACAAGTCCAAACAATTTTTTATAGATAACTAACAAATTGACATAAGATACACAATTATATAGTCATACAATAACCTAACTGAACCCCCATAATCTTGAAAGGTACATAACAACAAACATAACCCAGTCAACCCCCATACGACTAGTGGGTGCAAATAACAATCAATTATACTGGTTACCGACTTATGAGTGTGTGTAATGCAATAGAAACCAACGGTGCCATACAACCAAGTATACACACCTATTTAAGCTCACTTTACAATCCCCACATACTTTTCCAAAATAATCATCATTGGAATATAACTTCTTCAAAATCTCAAAACTCATCAATCTAGAATTCAGGGTATACATCAATGCATATCATCTATATAAATCAGCTGCAACAATATTCACTTTGCCTTGATTATAATTAATCGCATAATGAAATTACTCAATAAATTATATCCATTTTTCATGCCTTTTATGCATATTTTTATAATTCTATTATGCTTCATAGACTGATGATTGGTCCTAATCACAAATTCCTTCTGCCATAAATAATGTTGCCAATTTGCTAAAGCTTTCAATGGGTAGAGAGTTCCTTATTATAGGTAGAATATTGTAATTGAACTCCGCTTAACTTTTCATTAAAGTAACCTAAGAAGACGACGTATTGACAAAAGAACAAAATGATTACACTGACCTTTTGTCAAGCAGTGAACCATGCCGAGGTTTCAGATCTACTAAAATCCGACTTTACTCACAAACAAAACAACACGATTAATCAAAAGAAATGCCCTGCCAATGTTTTTGAGATTTGGAGAGGAGATGAGATTCAAAAATTCAGTGTGAACAAAGGATGTGTGGCGGCCAAATGTTTTAGGGTAAAGGAGTGGCTCAAAAACCTCAGAAAACAAACTTGAAAGTAAGCATTTATAGGTGAAATTAGGGTTCTTAAATTGTTGAGTAGGAATTTGAATTTCATATTTTGAAATTGGTCAAAGATAAACATTAAAGCTCGAACGTTGGGATTTTTTATTTACTCAACAGTCTTCACGTGATTGACATAGCAATAACACGAACATAGAGTGACAACCTTTGTCCATAGCTAAAGAACATTGGATGTTGCTGGAGTACCACAGGAGGTCAAGAATGATGTACTCACATTGCTTGGGTTTGATGAAGGAACCCTCCCCTTCAAGTATTTGGGAGTTCCTTTGTCAACAAAGATTTTGACTATACAACAGTATTTGCCACTAGTAGAGAAGATATTTGCAAAACTTAGATGTTGGTCAGCTACACTACTCTCATCCGTTGGTAGGCTGCAGTTAATCAAGTCTCTACTATTTCGTAGGCAAAGCTATTGGGCTCAGATTTTTGTCCTGCCAAAGAGAGTAATAAAATGATTGAAGCTACTTGTAGAACTTTTCTATGGACTGGGAAACGGGAGATGTCAAGGAGAGCACTAGTAGCATGGGAGAAGGTGTGTCGACCAGGGCCTGCCGGAGGTCTTAATATAATTGTACTTAGTACTTGGAACAAGGCAGCTATACTCAAACAATTGTGGGCTATATCTATGAAAAAAGACTCTCTATGGAAACAATGGATTCACTATTATTATATAAAAAAATAGAGACCTAGAAATTTTGGATACCCCCAACAATGCAGCTTGGGTGGTAAGGAAAATAATAGACAGTCGAGAAGTATTGATCAATTCAACTAGTGCTGCTAGGGTACTTTTACAGGAAATGAAAAAGCTGAAAAAACAAGGTAAATTTCAGGTCAAGGCAACTTATCACTATTTGCAGCAACAAAACCCTAGAGTTCCTTGGAAGAGCTTCACCTTGCACAAACATCTACATCCA